TCTTCCCTTTCCCATACCCATGTGCTTGTTGTGCTGACTTGTCCAACAGGAATAATGCTATAAGTGTGTGTGTTATGTGTAATAGGTCCCAATAATTCAAAATATTGTTTGTTCTTCAAGGTCGCAGTCGTGGTTTCGGTTTCGTAACTTATTCATCGTGAGTATATTAATTTTTTTTATTTCATTTTTTTTTTTTATTATATTAATTTTCTATTTTCTATAATTATTTATAGTAATGAAGAAGCTGAAGCCGCAATTCAAAATTTGAATGACCAAGAATTCGATGGACGAACTATTAAGGGTATATATACATTGTTTTTCCATTTTAAATTTTATAATTAATGTCAAAATATCTAACTATCATTTCTTTTAATTAGTTGACCGTGCTTCGGAACGTTCTTCATCTTCCTCCTCTTCGCGAGGACCCGGTGGTAATAGTTACGGTGGAAATGGTGGTGGCGGTGGTGGTTATCGTGGCGGACGCGGACGCGGCGGTGGCGGCGGCGGCGGCGGCTACAACAACCGATACAACAATCGTTATTAAAAATTTTGAATCACTATCTTGGTTGCATGTGTCTTTTCACAACAGATCTTCTGTGAACAACCACAATTTTATCATGCATCATACTGAACGTTTACCGGATTTTCATCATGCACATGTGATGTCATATTGAACGTTTACCAGATAGTAGTGTTTATTTTCTTGCCTGATATGTCTTATCCCATTTATCATTATCTATATTTTTTTTCTTGTTCTTAAAAGCTCAGAGTGTCCGTCTTGACGAAATATTTCGTAGCCTTTAATTTTTCTAGTTCTTGATTTTCCATTTCATTACTACGCGATCGAATTCAAACCTTTTCTTTGTAATCTGTATAATCACCTTCCTGTGCTTTTGTTAATGACTTAATGTTTGTTCCCTTACATTTTTTTTTTTTCACTTCCCTTTTGATAAGGGAAGATGATGACAGATAATTGATTCGTTTTGCTACCTAGGTTTACGCTTTTTGTTTTTTTTTTAAAAAAAAAATCAACTTGTAATATTTTTTAGTGCTTTTGTACTCTTGTGTTCCCTTTCTACAATTTGTACATATTAGACGTGACGTTCTTATAAAAAAAAAAAAATTAAATAAATAATTCATTGGTACTACCCAAATTTGTAAAATAAATTGTAACGTTATATGAGTGTATTGGTATTCTCCTAGCTGTAATGTATCCAGTTCTTGGTTGCACAGAGTTAATGTATCTGAAAATTAGCGTTAGTAAATAGAACTACGTATTATGCATTATATCAGATATCATATATTATTTTATAAAAAAACTAAAATTCACGAGGGAACACATGTCTTCAAAAAATTCCATACTGTCTTGATATTTTTGTATTTGATCAATATATTAAGCATTGGTTAGCTAATAAGAATTATCGTATATAATTTTTTAACGATTCGTAAAAAAAAAAACAATTTAAAACGTTTTTTTTTTTTTACCATCCCTAAGTAGCATATAGTAAGTAAACTGACACCATCTTTCCGAAGGTAATTGATAATAGATAAGAAGTCAAATCACAGCATGAGGGTGCAAACGCAGACTTTTCATTATACAAGAAATTTACGAATAATCTATTCATAATTTGAATAATTCGAGCCAGGTGATCAACAATCACGAAAAAAATTTTCTGAAATATTATTGGTAGATAGCGATGATCGAGAATGTAAACAATCGCAATTTTTTCACATTTTTTCACACACATATAATTTATTATTTATTCATAATTTTTTTTTAACGAAACTTTTTTTTTTAAAATCCAATAACTTTTGTTTTAATTAGGTGTCACGCAAACTCTAGCGATACCGACCGGGTAATTGAGTTTTTCATCCCGTAACTAGTTACACGTTTAACACTACGGTAAAAAGTTATAAGATGTATACCTTCTAGCTCTCGAAGTAAAATTGAGCATTGCGCCTCGACGGATTTACCCTCTCTTGTATTTATGGCAAGAGTTAAAATATTAAAACATAAAACTTTTTCGTTAT